GCGGTAAATAGCTTCCCTAATTTTGGACATTCTAGGTATTTTTCATCTGTTTTCTTTATATCAGTTTCTTGTAGGCATATTATATCAGCATTTTGTTTGATTAATTTAGCTATTATCCTTTTCCTTTTTATCGTCAAGTATAAACCATTTATATTAATTGATAGTAGTTTCTTTTCTTCTTCCATTTAATTAATTCTGTTTTGCTCTTTGCCTTGTAATGGCTCCAGTCTCTCCTTGTGCCTGAAGATGTGTCCTACTTTCTTCTCTCTCCTGATGTAGTATTTCCTTGATTTCCTAAAGTTCCATCTCTGTTCTTATGATAGCCTTGATCTTCCTGGGAGTTTGTTTCCAGTTCCTCCTTACTGCTCTGGTCTTCCGGACCTACCAATCGCTCATAAAATTCCTGGGCCTTTTCCATGGAGTCTATTTTAATTTTCCTTTTGTTCCAAAAAACTAACATCCCCTCTGGGATTAGCCATTTAAATACGATTCTTTTCTGATTTAGGTAAGCTGCTAAGAACTTGTAGTCTCATCTTTGTTCTTTTACTCTTCTATTTGTTTGAGAATCAAGACTTCTTTACCTTTATACGTGATTGTTTCATCTCTTGACATCCTATATATGATATCCCGGGCACTCCTTCTCGCAAATCGTATATGGACTTCTCTTGGGCATTTGTGGCATCTTGCATAATTAGTGCTAATCCTATAAACTTCATCAAACTCCCTTAAGATGTCATCTTTATCCTTTTCCAATAGTCCAGCCAGTATTCCCGCCATTAGTTGTTCCATGTCTTCTTCTTTGGATTCCACTACATTTTGGAATCTCAAGTATGTAGCAGCCTTGTCCATCTCTAGGTAGACCAGTGAGTCCTCCATTTCTTTACTCACATTCTTTAATTCTTCATCTACCCTTTCTAATTTCCTTTCGGTTCGTTCAGTCCTTTTCTCTACCTCTTTTATTGTTGCTTCATTTTTCTCCAAGGCCTGCTGTAATAATCCAACTTTGTCCTCTACTTTGGAGATATCTGCTTTCATTTCTGCTTTTAATTTCCCCATCTCCTCTTTTAGTTCATTGATATCTGCTCTCGTCTCATTATGGTTTTTCATCATTGTTTCTTGCAGCTTCGTCATCGATTCCTGTAAAGTCAGCAAAATTGATTTGATGTTGGCATTCGAGATGTTAGCTTGTTTCTCCACTGGTAATGTTTCTTCTATGGTTTTTTGTGCCATGGGCGAAGCTGTTGCCGACGTAGTTGTTAACGTCGGGGTGACCTTTCTTCCAGTTTTCAGAGCTGTAGTAGTTGTGGAAGTCATTTCTTTTAAGATTTGTTTCTCTTGTTGTACTATATTAATTATATTATCCCAAATTAACATACAGTGATAGAATCTCTGTATTAGGATTGACCGGTATCTAATTACTTTATCTATCTGCTGGATAGCTGTGCTCTTAACTGGTTACTGGAGTATAAGTACTTATATATAAAAATATTATCACTGTATTATTTTAAATCCAAATTCTAAATTACATATATAATTTTGTAAAGTCTGTGCTCAGCCTCTATACATAACTTCATGTAATAAATATATATTCTTCAATATTCTTAAACACAAACAGTATTACATTCGTCCCCAAGTGGATTAATTGTGATCACACAATAAATTATAATATTAATACATAAAATCCTATACTTATTAATTAAATAATACTTAATGTTCTTACTATTTTCCCTATATATCTAATCAAAGTATAACTATCAGTATTATTAATAAATCAATTAAATCAATTAAATCAATTATTTAACAATCAGTTACAACAATCAATTTTCCTTTCCCCAGTATGCATATTTATAATCATTATAAAGAGAGAATAAAGAAGGAGAGATAGTTCATCATAGTGCCAGATGGTAAGGCAAAAAGAAGAAGAAAAAATTGAGCAAATGTATACAGAAAAAAGGGAGTCAAAAAAGGGGGGAAAGGAATTTTGAAGTAAGTTTTCAGCTTTCCGTCTCTAAGTTTGAGAGCTTTCACTCCAAACGCACCGGAAGTGGGGAGGTAAAAAATGCTGAGTAGTGACTGCAATTACACGGTATCTCCACACATTCGGAAGCTTCCACTTTTACTTTTTGTCTTAGCGTTCCTAAGTTCAATTTTCCTGATTTTCTTCAGATGGAATCACCTTCTCAATTAGATCAATATGCTCCCTAAAGAGCTGTTAAGTAGTTTATATCAGTTATATTGTTACGATAGCTTCAGGGTTTCTAAGTATCGCCTGTGGCGCCACACTGTCTCTGTTCCGTCAGCTCTGATCTTCTTCCCGTCTCCGCTTTAATAAAGTCTTTCAGAATAAAAATCAAATGAGATAGTCCAAATCCTCCACAACTTCCAGGCACCTTCCAGCCGCTAGTCTCCCAACCTGGTAAACTTCCCTTTTTACTCGTTATTGTCCCCTCTCTCTCTTCTGTCTGCCAAGCCCTTTCACTTTCACTTGCCTCGCATCTGCTTTTTGGCCACTTTCTTTTAGGGCTCCGGACAGACACTTGTAACAGCCTTATAAAAGTCTATGGCATTCCAATCCTCCTCTCCGCCGCTAATTTTCTCTGCCGCACTCTTCCCCAATGATCTCACGAACTGTCAGTCACTCACTTCTTTACATCGGTGGCAGTCCGGACTTTGGAGCCACTATTGATAGGGGGCTGTTTCTTGCTCGTTGGGCTCTGGAGGGCTCCTCTTCGCTGCAGGGGGGTTGCCTTCCCCACACTGCAACCCGAGTCTCCCCCACGCCGGCACGGATCTCTCCAGGACTAGTGCATCCTCAAAGGATCACGCCAACCACAAAAAGAGATTAACTGAAACCACAGACGGGCTTCTGCACCTCTGTTCGTCCTTGCCTTGCCACCGGAAGTCTTAGTCTCATGATATCTTAAACAAGTTTAAAATTCACATACCATATTCAGTTCACATGATTCATCCTAACTACATTTTGTTGAAAAAGTCCAAATGGCCTATTTATACATATTTAACCCATAGACAATGGAAACTACTTTCAAAATCTTGCCAAGAAAACTATAGGAACTACTGCAAGTAGTCCCCAGGAATCGACAATTACACAAAGACAGACAGACAGACAGACAGACACACAATTAAAAAAGCATACATCTGGATTATAGTGATTGGATTCACATATTGCACTTCTGTGAAACCAAGCAAGACTATTCACCCAGATGTTTAGCAAGGAAGATTGAGATCATTGTGTTTGCCATATTTTATCTTTATTTTTATGTTTTACTGATTGTATTGCAATTTCTTCTGACTGTTGTGAACTACCTGCCCCTCCAGATTTATTTATTTAAAAAGAGTTATTGAGAGTTGGGCAGCATAAAATAAATAACACTAAGCACTTGTCTACTTATTAATATTTGAAGTATTTGCTCCAAGAAATGCATATAGAACATACAACTTATGGAGCATAAAACATACAGAAACTAATTTATCATAAGATTCAGCTTGGCTTACATATTCTTCCTTCTAGGTAAAGATTACACTTTTTTTTCTTGTATCTTTGATAGTAAAATCTAAATAGATAAACGAATTACTTTTATTTAATGTAAAAGTAATGAGTGTTTTCAAAAATCGTAGCGGAAGCTCTGAAAAAACTATAGAAGCATATAGGCATGTTCCTTGTTTCCAGAAGCTCCACAGACAAAAACTCTATAAAGAAGCAAGTATTAAGCAATTAATATTCTGCTTGCATTTCAAATCCCTTTTGCTCTGAGAGTTGTTTTTCTAATGCTGATTGTCTCTCTAGTGATTACTAACCTGAATCTATAGGGGTTGGCATTAAACTGTATTTACCAAATGCTTTAATTTGGTTTTCAGTTTAGGAATAATTCAGAGTAACATTAACAGTGATCATGAGTTCTTTAGTAAAATTAGTTGAATTGAGTTCCAATGAATTTTTAAGATTTCAGGTCACCTGGTAGAAATTGATTCTAAGCAACTGCCATTTATTTTTCTATCTTATGAGAAATCTGCAGAAAGTTCTCCCAGGAACTCAGATCTTAATAGTAACCCTGTTTTGATCACAAAGTTGATAGTTTCATTGTTCCAGTTGAATGAAACTTTTAACTTGATATGGTCTACTTTCCATAATCAGAATGGTTCCTAATTTTTGTCAGCAAGCTGAATATCAGCTGCTGGATTAACTCTGACCAAAAGGTGTTTTTCAAAAGGCAACTAGACTTTGTTTTTTCCTTGAAAAAGTTTTGCTTCTCATTCAAGAAGTGTCTTCAGTTCTGCTTCTTAGCCCAGAAGCAAAATGTTTTCATGGTAAAAACAGAAAGTCTAGTTGCCTTTTGAAAAGCATCTTTGGGACATTCATGATGTGGATGATTAAGAATCTCTATAGACATCTTGACCAAATGGATATTTAAGCACTTCCACAGAATCCCAAAGATAATCCATTAGCAAAGTACATTGCTTAAATCCATATTCGGACAGCAACATGTCATCTCACCTACCTCAGCCTTCTGAGTTTATTTGAATTCATGCTGTCAGTAATGACTGTTCTTGAAAGGAATATCAACTTCATGAAAGGAATACAAATAATAGTTAGCCACAGCTCTGTTTTTTAAGAGCAGCTTTCCTCCTTTTCTGAATCCTGCATATCACAGTTACAAAAAAAATGTGAATTCTGCCCTCACCTTTACCATGAGGCTGATAGGGCAGGAACAAGAATCAGGCCCCTTACATACACATAGTATCCCCCCATTTAATATTCATGAGGGAAGCTAAAACAATTTTCATTTACTGAGCTGCTGATGCTCCGTTATCATCTGTAAAATGCATTTTTTATTTTGATTATTAGTTCTCTTACTTGTAAACCAGCTAATGTAGCATTATCTCCACATTTTTTCACACAATTTTTCAGAAAGCTCCGTAAGATTAATTTCCTTATGTCTGCCCTAACCCCTTCTGCTCAAAGAAAAAAATGACTCTGTATAGAAAGTATATAATTATGTTTATTTCGCTAGAACTTTTAAGCCCAGGTGTTCAATCTCTTCATACACACAATAAGATCTTCAGACATTCAACACTAAGATGATTTCACAGATTCACCTCCCAGGGATATCCTCCCATTTTAAGCATTATAGACCAAACTGCTTTAGATATTGACATCCCCTCAGATATTTGTGCTGGTTAATCACTTGGGTCTACTCCAATTAACTATTACAAGAATAAGGTATATAATCAGCTATTCTCCTTTGGCAGAGTCATACAACAGATCTTAAACAGTTCACAACTTTCCACTCAAACTTCTTTTGGGCATCAACTTATTTTCTGCATCACTCTTTCCTGATCAGGAATACTTAGCATAAATTGTTTTCTGGTCAGCAAAGAGTGGAATACAGATTCTTAAATACTATATAGGTAGTCCTTGACTTACAACCATTCATTTAGTGACCATTCAAAATTACAATGGCACTGAAAAAGGTGACTTATGGTTTTTCTCACACTTATGACCATTGCAGTATCCCTGTGGTCACATGTCCAAAATTCGGACACTTGGCAACTGGCATGCATTTATGACGGCTGAAGTGTCACAGGGTCATGCGATCACCTTTTGTGACCTTCTGACAAGCATAGTCAATGGGGAACCAGATTCACTTCACCCACCGTGTTACTCACAACTGTAGCAATTCATGTAATAACTGGAAAGGTTGTAAAATGGAGCAAAACATACTTCATAACTTGTCTTGCTTAGCAATGGAAATTTGGGGCCCAATTGTGATAATAAGTGAAGGACTACCTGCATAGTGTTACTTTAAAGCATGGGTGTCAAATTGATAGCATCACATTGCGGTCACATGACATACGTTTTTTTCCCCTTTGTGGAGCTGGGGTGGGCATGGCCTGTGTGTGATGCATCCAGTTTGACACCCCTGCTTTAAAGCAATGTTTCTCAGCCTTGGCAAGATGGATGGACTTTAAATCCCCAAATTCCCCAGTAATGCTTGTTGTGAACTTGCAGGGATTTGAATTCCCAGAATTCTTATCCAGCCTTGCTTGAAGTCCACCTGCTTTAAATTTGCTAAGATTGAGAAACACTGCTTTAAGGCAAAGGGTACTAAAGCTTTTTTTCTCATTTATACTAAAAACAAAATTGTTTTATCATGTTCTCCTATCTAAAAACTATTTTTTCTTTTAGTGGGGTTAAAGGCTAAATATAAATCCAACAACTGATAAAGCATGCACTGCAATGCCGTTTTTGTACTTGTGTTGAAGTTTCAACATACATTTCTTCTTACATTTCTTCATATCTTCACATAAAAGCTCTGTTCTCCATGGGTGTCATGCCTACAAGCATAACCCTTCACAGGGCTGAAAGTTCATTTGTTCATTAACCAAATAACAAAATAAACAAAAACTAGGGAAAAAAACAAGAACAGGGGAAAAGAGGGAATGGGGACTGTTCCTTTAATATTTGTAGTAAAAATATGCCAGAACTCAATACTAAAATGATGTCAAATCTTTTACTTAGGAGTATTTTATATTTCCAGTTGGAAGTCATCTGCAAATTGCCGAAGGTTAAAGTGTCTTGTTGTCAGTTCAGTCAAAGTTGTTTAAGATCCAAACAACCTAGTGAAAAACAAAAGGAAAGTTAATAACTAATTTTTATCGGTTATTCTTATAATAAACCTACAAGGCAAACCAAGATTATAGAGTCCTTTTATACTGTCCAATAAGTTAAACCAATTGAAACTTATTACAAAATATCCTCATTATATAAGGAACAGTGAAAACAATAAATGAACAATATAAACTTAGAATAATTGAAGCACATAGTTTATAATCATTTATTACTACAGCAGTTATCAATTCAATATTCCACTTGCTCCATGTTTAAGTGCTGATACTGTAAAGTAGTAAGAAGAATACCATATATTATGTAACTGTGCAAACCAAGCATTAAAAAAGACAAGGTAAGGAAGACATAAACATGACATCTTTGTTGGGATTACTTACACAATCATGCAAAACATCATGAAAATATTCCACAGTGCGATGAAGATCCGAAAGTATCTTAAGCTCAACAGAAACTCCCTGATATTATCACCTAGAAGTCAGAAAGTAAATGAAATTGCATTTACAGCAAAAACTATCCCTTGTTTCATCCACATTCCTTTCAGTGTACGCCTAGCAATAATTTATTCAGTCATTAATTTAGGTACCAACTGATTCCAGACTGACTTAAACAATTGGAGTGATTTCTTAGATTCCCAAAAACTAATAAGGTACACTGCTCAAAAAAATAAAGGGAACACAAAAATAAGACATCCTAGATCTGAATGAATGAAATATTCTTATTAAATACTTTGTTCATTACATAGTTGAATGTGCTGACAACAAAATCACACAAAAATTATCAATGGAAATCAAATTTAGCAACCCATGGAGGTCTGGATTTGGAGTTACACTCAAAATTAGAGTGGAAAAAAACATTACAGGCTGATCCAACTTTGATGTAATGTCCTTAAAACAAGTCAAAATGAGGCTCAGTAGTGTGTGTGGCCTCCACGTGCCTGTATGACCTCCCTACAAGGCCTGGGCATGCTCCTGATGAGGTGGTGGATGGTCTCCTGAGGGATCTCCTCCCACACCTGGACTAAAGCATCCCCCAACTCCTGGACAGTCTGTGGTGCAATGTGGCGTTGGTGGATGGAGCGAGACATGATGTCCCAGATGTGCTCAATTGGATTCAGGTCTGGGGAACGGGCGGGCCAGTCCATAGCATCGATGCCTTCGTCTTGCAGGAACTGCTGACACACTCCAGCCACATGAGGTCTAGCATTGTCGTGCATTAGGAGGAACCCAGGGCCAACCACACCAGCATATGGTCTCACAAGGGGTCTGAGGATCTCATCTCGGTACCTAATGGCAGTCAGGCTACCTCTGGCGAGCACATGGAAGGCTGTGCGGCCCCCTAAAGAAATGCCACCTCACACCATTACTGACCCACTGCCAGACCCTGTCACGTCTATCACATGTGCTCAGTGTGAACCTGCTTTCATCTGTGAAGAACACAGGGCGCCAGTGGTGAATTTGCCAATCTTGGTGTTCTCTGGCAAATGCCAAACGTCCTGCACGGTGTTGGGCTGTAAGCACAACCCCCACCTGGGGACCTCGGGCCCTCATACCACCCTCATGGAGTCTGTTTCTGACTATGTGAGCAGCCACATGCACATTTGTGGCCCGCTGGAGGTCATTTTGCAGGGCTCTGGCAGTGCTCCTCCTGCTCCTCCTTGCACAAAGGCGGAGGTAGCAGTCCTGATGCTGGGTTGTTGCCCTTCTACAGCCTCCTCCATGTCTCCTGATGTACTGGCCTGTCTCCTGGTTGCGCCTCCATGCTCTGGACACTATGCTGACAAGACACAGCAAATCTTCTTGCCACAACTCGCACTGATGTGCCATCCTGGATAAGCTGCACTACCTGAGCCACTTGTGTGGGTTGTAGACTCCGTCTCATGCTACCACTAGAGTGAAAGCAACCGCCAGCATTCAAAAGTGACCAAACCATCAGCCAGAAAGCATAGGAACTGAGAAGTGGTCTGTGGTCACCATCTGCAGAACCACTCCTTTATTGGGGATGTCTTGCTACCTGCCTATGCTTTCCATCTGTTGTCTATTCCATTTGCACAACAGCATATGAAATTGATTGTCAATCAGTGTTGCTACCTAAGTGGACAGTTTGATTTCACAGAAGTGTGATTGACTTGGAGTTACAATGTGTTGTTTAAGTGTTCCCTTTATTTTTTTGAGCAGTGTACTTTTAATTTTTAATATGAGACAAGAAAACAAGTTATAAAGGATTTTTTCAAATACAAGCAACTTGTAATTGTGCAGCATGAAAAAAACTACCGGTACGCACAGTGATACAATGTCTTATGCAGTATAATCACTAGGAACATTATTTTTTTAATATTTGTAAGTGGGTTGCATGTTGTCATTCTACCAGCAGACATTCAATATCTCCCCCTTTCTTCATATGCCTATGATTTGTCTGGATGGCTAAGATATCTCCATAGCATATTTACAGAACATGTAGGAAGAGAGAGGAAAGTTGCTGTCAGGCCAAAGGACAGTGACTTAATGATGTATTCTTTGGTTTTAGTTCAGGATAGGCAGTTCTCTAGACATTGTTGAATAGCAACTCCCATGACTGCTCATCCTGCCTAGAATTGAGAAAGTTCAGTATCCGAGTGGCTATATATTTGCTTGCTGTCAAACTCATAGAACCTCAGCAGAATATCCCAGACATTCAACTCAGCATAGCTTGAATAATTCTAGGTTCAGATTTGAAAAAAATTTATCTGGCAATTGCTGTGTACATAAGTATCTTTATTACACAGTAGGAAGAAATCATTAGAACACTTGATCGCACTCTATCAATCTGAATTTTTTTTCAGTTTATTTTTTTTTATATTCAATGTAGTTTAATTTCCCATGGCTTAACTCATGTTTTGTTCTGTGTTTCTCAGCCTTCACAATGAATGTTGTTAATTGCTGACAAATCAATAAATACCTCTGCCTTGAGAAACTCTGGGGTTCACCTTAATTCTGTTCTAAATGCTTTTAAATAAGTATAGTTTCTATTAATTAGGCTAAAATAAAACCACAGAATAAAAAACACAATATGTAAAGCACTACTCACAGCAAATTTGGTACTATTCTCACCAAGAAGGGGGCAACAACAATTTACACAAAAAACTTGATTTCACTGTCCAAATAGAGAGAAATGGGGTCCAGTAAAACCAAATGTCTATTAAATCTGAAACTATATTACATGTGTTACCTTTTGATAATTTTACATTGATGTGTAAAAATGTAATTCTTAATTAATTTGTTAAACAATGTTCCCAGTTTAATAGACCAAGTTTTTAAATTGAAACAATTACAATATGTGTATGCCAATAAATAGTCTATTTCATATTTTTCTATGCAATATCTCAAAACAAAACTAAAAAAATTAATTGCAACTATTTTGGGGATGCACAGCAAGTTAAAAAAAAACACCACCTCAATACGAGGATCTCAGCTAGAATTTTTACCTGTTGTTGGTTCTCTTCCTTCTTCACCAAAGCTCTGATTCTCTTTCTTCTTCCTGGAAGGCAAAGAAAGAAAGATTTACTTTAAAAATCCCACAACATAGTAGTGTCTCATAATTTAAGGCAAAAAAGGAATATGTTAAATTGGACAATGACAGAAGAAAATGTGTTGACAGCTATTAAACAAGGTAATGATGGAATATTATAGCAATTTGCTGAATCCCAGAAAGAAAACAAGGAAGTTTCAAGGCCCACTTGAAGAATTTTCAGAAATGAGGTAACCATGCAGAAAAAATGCTGGACTAGATTAATGCAATTTAGGCAGGACACAACAGGAATCTTCTTCCACCAATTAAGGGAAACTTCCATGATCAAAAGCAGCATGCCTTTAAACAGCACTTGCAGCTGGTTCACCCACTGCTATAATATTCAGCTTATGATATTCCTATAGAACCACTAATTTGGCCATTGTAGTAAACAGAATATCTGGGTTGGATATGCATTTCTTATATCCCTAACAACATAGGAAACATGTTACATATAGCTTTCAGGTCTTTTGTAAAACTGCTAACTGCTCTAATTGGATGTAATGATAATTGAACCCCCTCACTTTACATTTGAATCCTGACAGTGATGGCAGATCCTGAAAAGCTGAGTTACACTGAGTTAATATTTAACAAGAAATCTCAGGGTTTCATGCTATCCCACCAGTTTAGTTGCTCGGATTATCATTTAAAACAAGGCAAATACAACATGTATTTCTCTATGATTGGAAAATCAAGGCAACGACCAACTACATTTATATTTTGCTAAAGAAAACATGGGTGTGTGATGTGTTTAGTCAGCAGACATAACTCCACACTCAAGAAAAAATATTTATTCCAAGACTGGGGAGGAGCTATAGAAACATCCTTTACATTTTAAAAAGAGGCTCTCTGGTTTGCAGAAAGTTGTGTCCTACCAAATCCACCCAATTCGCTAAGGAACAACAGCTCTCTAGAAAGGAGTTTTTTGCCAATGTCCCTAAAGCTCATCTAACAACCTCAAACCAGATGTTTTACTATAACCAAAATCACATGTTGCAAGCTTTGAATCAAAAGCTTTTCCCAGAAACCTCCTCATGCTGGAAAGCACAAAAACTCGATTCCTACAGTTGTGGGAATGCCTGCATTTTCCCAACGAAGCAAATCTTGCTTTTCAGTACTTACAGCCTGAAATTTAACACTGCTCCGGCATTGACCAACAGAGTCCTATGTGGCAGAAGAAGAAAAATAAAATAAAAAGTGAGAATATACAACGGCTTGGCCTTTTTCACTTTAATTCTTAACATTTCTGAGCTGTGGGGGGCAAGAAACGGCCTACAAGTTAGAGATAACTGCTTCCTCCATGCTTTTCCTGATGTCCCATCCCAATTACTTCTGCTTTTTGTTTTGTTTTTTTGCACTTTTAAGAGCTGCAGGGCAGACAAATTTAGCTAAAGCAGTTTCCCTCGTAGAATGCAGATTGGAATCTTCTGCTGTCCCTTGTCCCAGATTTACACAACCTTTGCACTCAGTCCCGCAGAGCCGAATTTACCGAAATAAACAAACTGTGCCTCGCCCCCCCCTCCCCGCGGCTTAATAAAACTGGTTGCTTGGCAACAAGCTATCTCCCCCCCTTACCCGAACAACAGCAAATCCCCCAACATCCTGCTACTTCCGCCCTGCTGCTATCAAAACGGAAATATACCCCGCTGACACGCAGCGGCTCAACAGCCAATAAGCATCAACTGCCTTTCCATCCCTTGGCCACCAGGTGGCACTCACCAGCTATATACTATAAAGGAGAAAGTCTGTGGTAGGTTACAAGCAGGTGGTGACGTTTCTCCACAAACCCCGCCCACCGATTTAAAGCGCCGGGATTAGGTCTTTATCATGGGAGTGGAGGCGGTTCAGTGGTTTTAAAATATGCTGATTTTTTTTTCTTTTTGGAGGGGTGGGGGGGTTCGTCCTTTTTTGTGTCAGGTCCCTCCCCCCTCATTCCAAAGTAAGAAATGTAAGGCAACGTCTATTTTAGCAAAAGGTCGGAGGGAGGAACAGGAATTGTGAAGCTGTAGAAAAATAGGTGGGTGAAACGGAAGGTTCTTCAGAAACATCCCTTGTATTAATCTAGGGATCTCAAGCCTGTGAAGAAGTGGGCTCTTGGTCGTGATGTACCGGCGGAACCTGCACGCTCAGAGGCAGTCTACCTTTAAATATGGTTTTAAAAAGGATTTATCCTTCTTGCCTCCTGAGGCTTATGGGCAAACAGTCATCTGTCAGAAATGGTGTCATCTGTCAGAAATGGTGTAGGGTCTCCCGCTTGGGTGGGGGAGGGGGGGTTGGACTAGATGACCTACAAGGTCCCTTCCAACTCTGATTATCTGTTATCTGTTAAAACGCCAAAAAGACCAACGCACCGCTTCACCAGCTTGTCCCAAAGGGCGCTTTTCAAAAGGCAACTGGGCTTTCTTATTTTCCCCCCCTTGAAACGTTTCTCTTCTCATCCAAGAAGCTTCTTCAGTTCACTTCATGGATGAGAAGCGAAACGTCTTCAAGGAAAAACCAAGCAAGTCCCGTTTCCTTTTGAAGAGCACCTTTGGGACAACTATGACCTGGATGGTTGAGAATCTCCATAGACACTCCTCACCAGCCCAACCCCCAGATGAACAGAGATCAACACCAAGATCAACATTAGATCAACAATTGAGAATCAAACGATGCTCCAATCAAGGTACTACTGTATCAAGTCAGACAAATTAACAGTAAACGATAGCCCAATTAAAAAAACTACCCCCACTGATAGAGCAAGCCACTAGAATATAAAATGAGAGCAAACCCCACTATTTACCAGCACTGATAATGTTATCTAGTTTGGTAATGAAAGGTCTGCAAGAAACCAGCCAAGCTCAGAAAGCACCAAAGACCTCGCAGTTCAAACCTGAGCTACAAATATTCTTTTCTATTGGCAGTCACTTCGCTAGGTGTAATAGGGAGTAAGAGTCTGTAGAGATTCTCAGTCATCCAGGTCATGGACTGAGAATCTCTACAGACGTTCAGCTCTACAATTGGGATGAACACCCTTTGAATGATGTGGGAATAGGAATGGATTTCCAGAGGAAAAAAAAAATTGCAGACTACAGAAACTAGGAGCACTACTCAGTTGACCCTGAGGACACAGGTAAACCTCCAAGTGCTTCAACGACCCTCTAAAAGAATGCAAATGACCAGCCATCTGCAAGGGGAAAAAATCCTTCCATTCCCCGCTATCCTGTCAGAGCGGAAGAAGCTTCTTGGATGAGAAACGAAACGTCTTCAAAGAAAAAAACAAGAAAGTCCAGTCGCCTCCTGAAAAAGCACCGTTGGGATTACGGAGTAAGAGGAAATTCCGCATAAAAAATCTGCTCCAGAAGCTCGGGAGCAAATGTCTACCATTAAGCCCTTCAGGTGGGGGTCAACAGAAGAGACCCTGGCTGGCAATTTGCGCAAAGAGGCAAGAACGCTCAGAGATTGCGGTCTCGATTCCCGATGTAGTTTGTCTGACATCGAGCACTTGGGAAGGGGACTAATATTGTCGTGTCCGTCGAGAAAGGAAGCTCGGAGTCAGTGACTTGGTTTC